AGGGAGGGATGTTTAAAGGGGATTCTTTCAAAGCTTTACCCCATGATGCACTGACATCCCCTGAGCTACCCGTTAGATCACTTGAAGATATCCAACATTCTTTCAAGTTTTCCAATGCAGATTTGTTTCTTTGGAAAGCTGCATTGTGCTGAGACTGGCTTTTAAGGCCCCTAACTTTACAGAGTGGTGACACCAACCACACAGGGCTGTTAAAATAATTTACTAGATAATGTATGTGAAGTGTTTAACATGGTTCCTGGAAAATAGTAAGTGCTCAATAAAAAAGCTAATCATAATAACATTAATTCTTTAAATACAGTTCATTGAGATTTTGTGAGAGCATGCCAGACCAAAGCGGCAGCTGGAACAGAATATTGCTGGCCACAATCTAGATAGACTTGGCTTCCACGGTAATACATTTTTTAAATCTTTGTTTCATTTTAAGTATTTTTCACAAAATACTACTTCTAAAATAATTATTTTACATTTCTTAGCATAAGATAAATACTGATTACCTAAAGAAATTTCTACCTTCCATTTTAAGTCTCAGCTTTGCATTACACATTCTGATTTCTAGAGAAGTCTGTGTTATGGTAGAGTTATATCTTACGTGAGCACTTCACTCTAAACTCAGCTCATCAGGCAAAAATCACATAGAATCAAAATTATCCTTGGAAGCAGGTTTTGCGTACACAACTCTGTACGGTAATTCTTATGAACTCTAAAGTTTGGTTACACCAATATAGAGTAAAGGAAGGAACAAAAAAGAAAGTCTGTGCACACAAGCTAGAGATGCAAACAATTCTGCCTTAAAGATAACTATTAAATTGTAAAAAGGAATGAATCAATGTCTTCTGCAGCAATTTGGATGGAACTTGAGACCATTATCCTAAGTGGAGTATCTCAAGAATGGAAAAACAAACACCACATGTGCTTTCAAATAATTTGGACCTAAGTGATAGGTACACATGGGCACAGAAAAAAGTAAAAATCATTGGAAATAGAGAAGAGGGGACTGGGGAGAAGAGGAGAAGTAAAAACCTACCTAACAGGTATAATAAACATTATTTGGGCAAAGGGCACACTAATAGCCCTGACTAAAGCATTATTAAAGCTATCCATGTAACAAAA